GTTGTATTGTTTATGGTTTTCAGTAAATTGGTTTGCAATTACATTCCCATCTCCTACTTCATTATAGCTTGCATACCTGTAACTGTAGTTCCTCAAGTGGTCATCTGTGAATTCACATAGCCCCACCCATCCTCCCCTTGTGTATTGCTGATCCTTTGGATTGCTGCACTAGTGTCCAATGGAACTGGCAGTTTCAGCGGGGAGCCCCTTATTTAAGGTGACTGAAGGTGGGCAGGGGTGCTGCCAAAATGCTTTAGAATGAGAAGGTTCCAAAAGAGGCACTGCACAGGCACAGGATAACCCAATCATGTGAGTTCACATATGACCATTCAGAGAACAACAGTTACAGGTATGCATCCTGTCCTTTTGACCTATAAAGCCCAATACAACTTAGATCCAGGTTATTTGAAAGACTGTATCTCCCTGTATGAACCTATTAGAGTACTAAGATCATCTCAGGAGGCCCTTCTCTGTCCTACCATCTTCTCACACTCATTTGGTGAGAACAAGGGAGTAAGCCTACTCAGGCTGGATCTGCACTGCAGAAATAATCCAGTTTGACACTTTAACTGCCTTGGCTCAGTGCTATGGACATTGTATTTTTGTGAGACTTTTAGCTAACTCTGTCAGAGAGCTCTGGTGTCACAACAAAGTACAATTCCCAGGATTCCATAGCTTTGAGCCATGGTAGTTAAAGTAGTGTCCAACTAGATTGTTTCTACAGTGCAGATGCAGCCTCATTGGCTGCTCCCAGACTTTGGAACTCCCTCCCTAGATAGGCCAGAAGAGCCCTGTCCTTGCTCTTGTTCCAGCGGCAGGTCAGGACATTTTTATACTGTCAGACATTTACAAATTGACAAGGGTTGGCCTTTGAATGCAGTGTGGTGCTGTTTTTAAGGTTTTAAAAAGTTTGTATATAGTTTTAATGCATTTTAATATTTTTAAGGTTTAAGGCTTTAACTCTTAAATTGTTTTTTAAATCTTATATTTATACTTTATTTTGACTTCTGTATGGTTTTTAATTTATATTGTTTTAAATATGTTGTTAGCCGCTTTGAGTCACATTATTGAGAGAAAAGTGGGATATAAATGTTTTAAATAAATACATCATAGAATCATAGAATCATAGAGTTGGAAGAGACCACAAGAGCCATCCAGTCCAAACCCCTGCCATGCAGGAACTCAAAATCAAACCATCCCCGACAGATGGCCATCCAGCCTCTGTTTAAAGACCTCCAAAGAAGGAGACTCCACACACTCCGAGAGAGTGTGTTCCACTGTTGAACAGCTCTCACTGTCAGGAAGTTCCCCCTAATATTGAGGTGGAATCTCTTTTCCTGCAGCTTGCATCCATTGTTCCGGGTCCTGTTCTCTGGGGCAGCAGAAAACAAGCTAGCGCCCTCCTCAATATGACATCCCTTCAAATAGTTAAACAGGGCTGTCATATTTCATCTTAACCATCTCTTCTCTAGGCTGAACATACCCAGTTCCCTAAGTCTTTCCTCATAAGGCATGGTTTCCAGACCCTTCACTATTTTAGTCGCCCTCCTCTGGACACGCTCCAGGTTTTCAACATCCTTTTTGAATTGTGGTACTCAGAACTGGACACAGTATTTCAGATGGGGCCTGACCAAAGCAGAATACCGTGGCACTATTACTTCCCTTGATCTAGATACTATACTTCTACTAATGCAGCCTAAAATTGCATTGGCCTTTTTAGCTGCGGCATCACACTGTTGACTCATGTTCAACATGTGGTCCACTAGGACTCCTAGATCCCTTTCACATGTAGTCTCGTTAAGCCAGGTATCCCCCATCTCATATCTATGCATTTCATTTTTTTCCCCTGACCTTACATTTCTCTATGTTGAAATTCATTTTGTTAGCTTTGGCCCAGCTTCCTAATCTGTTAAGATCATTTTGAATTTTTATCCTGTCTTCTACGGTATTAGCTATTCCTCCTAATTTTGTGTCATCTGCAAATTTGAGAAGCATGCCCCCTATTCCTTCATCCAAATTGTTGATAAAGATGTTGAATAGCACTGGGCCCAGGACAGAACCCCACTGGACACCCCACTGGTCACTTCTCTCCAGAATGAAGAAGAGGAGCCATTGCTGAGCACGCTTTGGGTTCAGTCAGTCAACCAGTTACTAATCCACCTAACAGTTGTATTGTCTAGCCCACATTTTGCTATCTTGTTTGCAAGAATATCATGGGGGACCTTGGCAAAAGCCTTACTGAAATCAAGATATGCTATGTCTGCCACATTCCCTTCATCAAATAGAAGACATGGCTCTCTAGATGTTGTTGGACTGCAAGTCCTAACACCACTCATTATTCACTGTAGTGACAGCTGATGAGATTTCCTGTTCTGTAACTTCAGAACAAAGTAGACAAGATCCTGACGTGTAGATATATAATTGAATACTAAAGTTAGGATTGTCCGTGCCATCATATTTTCAATTTCTATGCAAGGTTGTCAAAGCTGGGGAGTGAATAAAACTGATAGGAAGAAAATCAACTCATTTGAAATGAGGTGCTGGAGAAAAGTTCTATGGATACCAAGGACTGCTAAAAAGGCATTTAATGTTGATCAAGGAGGACTGGGAACTGATTGCTTAATGCTTTTACATTTTTTGTATGATGTGCAAAAGAGAAGGATGACCAAGATGATCAAAGGTCTGTAAACGAAGGTGGGTGTATTTAGCTCAAAGAAGAGAAGACTGAGAGGTGACATATTCGAACCGATGTCATATAGAATGTAGAACCAGTCTGTTTTCTGCTGCTTCAAAGCAGCAATGGATTCAAATTACAAGAAAAAAGATTCTATGCAAACATTAAGAAGAACTTTGTTACTGTAAGAACCATCTGACAGTGGAATAGAGTGCCTCAGAGGATAGTGGATTTTGAAGATTTTTCTCTTGTTTTTCTCTTCTTTTCTTTCTTAAAGAACTAATTTAAATCTATTGCTGCTATTTTTGAAGGAAAATTAAGGGCCAGTAAACAAAACATCAAAATGTTCTCAGTTTGGGGATATAAGAACTGCAAACAGCATCATTTTGGGGCTTTGCATCCAAGTGTCTTTGTTTTTGATAGCAGAGTGAGATTTTTGCTTTCCTCTCTATCTTTATTTTGGGCAGAAACTTGCCAGACTGAGAACACAGCTGCACAAAACAATTCTTCAAAAAATGTGGGGAGAGGCAGTAAAGAGAAGGGATCTTATAGCTTTCAATTTTTATTTGCAGGAGTAGAAGTGGACAGCTCTTGGGGGGGGGCTACACTGGATTTTGAGAAGTGTGGGTGGAGGGCAGTTCTAGTGGAAGTAGCATGCATTTGGGGGTGCCAGACAATGGAGACAACAGGACTACAAAAACAGCCATATGTGACATCTTGAGCTAGAACATTACAATTTCTATGTGACATATGTGACATCTTGAGCTAGACCATATGTGACATCTTGAGCTAGAACATTACAATTTTCTGGGAGAATACAACATTAAACCATTGTAACAAAGCCCACAAATATCGGGGCACCTTATAGACCAACAGATTTATGGGACAGACCAGGTGCATTACTAGGGATGTGGAGGGCATATGGACTGCACCAGGTGACATCCTAAGGGGGGGGATAACACCATGAGTTACTACACCAGGTGATGCCAACCCTAGTGACACTACTTGGACAAATGGCATGTCATTGATGGAAGTGAGTGGCTTCCATGTCAGTGCAATGGTGAATCAGGTGCTGGCTTTTGTATCAGCTTTAAACCAGCTATCCAAGATGCTGAATCCTAGCACCAAAATGGGTTCTGTCCCCTTTAACGTTCAGACAAAAACCTGGACCAGATTCATTGTCCCACTGACATGGAAACTGACCATCCACCACTGGTTTATAGACCAAAGTCCACCTTACCACATACATAAAGTACTTTATCCTTCTATGAACCTAGGCTGCTATGTATATGTGTTTGTTTAAAAAAAAAAGCAAGCCTAAACACCTTAAAGGCACCAGATCCCATCTGATCTTGGAAACTAAGCAGGGTCATCCCTGGTTAGTACTTGGGTGGGAGACCACCCACAAAGACCAGGTGCTGTAGACTGTATTTCAGAGGAACGAACTGGCAAAACTATCTCTGAGTATTCCTTGCCTAAGAAAACCATATGAAATTCATGGGGATGCCAGAAGTTGACAGCTGACTTGAAAGCTCTTATTTATTTAGACTATTTATACCCTGCTCTTCTTGATGCTGTGGCTCAAGTGGTTAAGACGCTGGCTCTGTTGATTTGAGGCCTGAGTGCTGCATGATGGGGTGAGCTCCTGTCACTAGTTCCAGTTTCTGCCAACCAATTAGTTTGAAAGCATGCAAATGCAACTAGATAAACAGGAACCACTTCACTGGGAAGGTAAACAATGTTTGATGCAGTCATGCTGGCCACATGATCACAGAGTAGTCTCTGACAATGGCTTAGTAACAGAGATGAGCACCGCCTCCTATGGTCGGACACGACTTGACAACCTTGTCAATGGGGAATACCTTTACCTTTTACTTCTGCTATAAATACTCTTAGAGTGTCTTATAGATTGTTAATTAGACAGTTCCCTACTCTCAGGCTTACAATCTAAAAAGACATGACACATCAGGAGAAGGGAATGGGATCAAGTCCGGCAGATAGTGCAGTTCTTCTCTCCTTCCAGTGCCAAGGTGATGGCAGCTAGAATGGCAGAAGGGCCCTTCCTCTGCTTCTGGGCTAGGCATGGTGGAGCTGTGTCTGCTGCCGCTTCTCTCCCTCCCAGGCCAGGACAGCAGCACTTTCACACACAAACAGTGGGGGCAAATGTCACAGAAATGCCAATAATAAAGCCAGTGACAATTTACATGTTTGCATCATTTTAATGCCATTTGATCCCACCACTATTTTTATTCTATATATACAGAACAGAGAGAACAGTGTGTAGAAATAACAACAACATTTCTAAGGGGAATGTCACTGATTTTGGGGGTGCGTGGTGTAACGGTTTGAAAATTGGACTATGACTCTAGAGACCAATGTTCAAATCCTGGCTCAGTCATGAAAACCTTCTGGGGTAACCTTGGGCAAATCCCACTCTTTCAGCCTCAAAGGACTGCAAGAACAAAAAAAACCCTCTGAAGCACCTTGCCCAGAAAAACCCGTGATGGGGTCGCCCTAAGTCAGGGGTAGGCAATATTTCCCCTTTAAGGGCCGAGGGACTTCAGCTCCCAGAATCCCAGGAGCTATTGGCCAACATGGGACTATTGGCCAACATGGCTGAGGCTTCTGGGAACTGAAGTCCCTCGGCCCTTAAAGGGGAAAGGTTGCCTACCCCTGCCCTAAGTAGAAAACGACTTGAAGACACGCAACAACAAACACCAATGGAGTAATTACGACCGCCATGATGGTCCAAAACACTGCAGAAATAATCCAGTTTGCCCTGGCTCAGTGCTAGGGAGTCCTGGGAATTGTAGTTTATTGTGGCACCAGAGCGTTTTGACAGAGAAGGCTAAATGTCTCACAAAAATACAGTTCCCAGAATTCCCTAGCATTGAGCCAGGGCAGTTAAAGCGGTCTCAAACTGGATTATGTGTTTTGGACTGCTGATGCTGATTCTTGCCATGCATACATTTATTTTTATCAATACATTTTATAATTAAAAAAACAACATCCCTCCCCAGTTCAAAGCAAACTTTTTAAATAAATAAATAAATAAACTTTTATATATATAAATTTTATTTAAAAAGTTTGCTTTTGGAAGTGAGAAGGGACCCCTCTCTCGGATCCTTGCTCTTGGCGCCTCCGCCTCCCACCTGTGGGCCCCGCCCCCGGCACCTGATAGGCCTCTTCTCCGCGGGGCCCCGCCCCTGGCCCCGCCCTCCCTGCCACCTGAGCCGGCTCCTCCCTCGCGCCGCTCGGGTGCTGCTGCCGCCTCCGCCTCCGCCTCCGCCTCCGCCGCACCTGCTTTCTCGTCTGCGGAGCCGGAGGAGCGCCGCACCATCCGCCTCTCCGTCGGCCGCGCGGAGCCATGGAGACGCTGCCGCTGGCGCTGGGACTGGCAGCCTTCCTGGGTGAGTGAGGGATCTCGGGGCCAGCGCTGCTCCTGGGCTGCATCCGCACTGAGACCGCGTTATTCCTTCAGTGCGGACGCAGACGCAGGCTGACTCTCCGAAACTTGGTCCCCGGGGTTCTCCGGTTCAGCCTTCGTTGGGCTTCCTTCCCATGGAGCGGCCAGGGATCTGAGCGTGGGGCGGTGGTTGGAGCGTTGGACTTTGGAGACCAGGGTTCGAATCCTGGCTCAACCAGGGAAACCCCCTGGGTGCCCTTGGGCTGGTGACACTCTCTCAGCCTCAGAAGATGGTTGTAGCAAAGCTCCTCTGAAGGAACTTGCCAGGAAAACCCTATGATAGCTTCGCCTTAGGGTCGCCGTAAATTGGAGACGACTTGAAAGGCGCAAAAAGGCACACAACCACTATACTAGAACCCCCACCGCCTTTACTCCATAGGCAGCCTGGCCTAGTGGTCTTGAGTGTTGGACCACGGCTATGGAGACCAGGTTTGAATCTCTGCTCAGCTAGTGGCAACCAATTGCCCTTGGGCGAGTCACACTCTCTCAGCCTGAACAAATCTTGCCAACAAAACCCCGTGGCTTTAGGGTCGACATAAGGCGACTGCGATTTGAAGGCACACAACAACAGCAACAATAAATCGAGTTAGGGTTATGTGATGTAAAAGATCCAAACTCTGTGTGTGTGTGTGTGTGTCATTATGGAGGGAATTATAGTTTATTGTGGCACCAGAGCAAAGTTACAAATCCAAGAATTGCATAGGATTGAGTTATGACAGTTAAAGTGGGGTCAAACCGTAATATTTCTGCAGTGTGGATGCAGCGGTGCCTGTTTGCTGAGGAAGCAGATTGTCTTCCTTAGCGACTGTCAAGAGGGCGAGAATCTGTCTGTGTCAATTATTCCGGATTAGTGCAGCGAAGGAAGCACGGGACCAAAATATACTGCAGAAATAATCACGTTTGAGACCGCTTTAACTGCCCTGGCTCAGTGCTAGGGAATTCTGGGAAATGTAGTATTGTGAGACATTTAGCCTTCTCTGTCAGAGAGCTTTGCTGCCACAACAAACTGCAATCCCTAGCACTAAGCCAGGCAATTAAAGCAGTCTTAAACTGGATTATTTCTGCAGGGTGTTTTGGCCCTTGTGTGGGTCAAGAGCCCCGGGAATGAGAATTCAGTAGAGAATTCAGTAGAGCCACCCCAGTCCAAGTTTATTCCCCAGGTATTTAATGGGACAAATGCCAGGGAAGTGCGCTTAAAGGCACAACTTGAGCTACTAGTGATATGAAGGGTGTGTGTGCTTGTGGTGGTGGTGTGTTTTCAAATTCTTTCCAATTTATAGTGATCCTAAAGCGACCCTATTGTGGGGGTTTCTTGGCAAGATTTGTTCAGAGGATGTGTACATTGCCTTCCTCTGAGGCTGAGAGAGTATGACTAGTCCAAGGGCACCCCATGCATTTCCATGGCCGAGTGGGGAATTGAGCCTTGTTCTCCGGAGTTATAGTCTAACTATCACTATGCCATGCTGGCTTTCTGAAAATATGGGTTGGGATTTGAATTCCCGATGACAGGATCACAAGGATCCTGTTCTTAATGGCTAGACCAAATGGGCTGCCAGCCTGTGTACCTGCATATATATGTCTGTGTGTGTGGGTGCAAATTACATCCATAGATACGATACACACATATGCATATATGATATACATATGCATAAGCTAATAAACATATATAGATGTAAGCAGACAAGCACACACTTTGTTCTTATGCAAAAGGATCTTGCAGCGCCTTTGAGGCTGACTGAGCTTTCGTAGACTTGAGCCAACTTTCTCAGATGCATCTAAGGAAGGTGCTACTGATTTTCCAGACAAACATTCTGCCACTTTTTACATTGCTGTCGGATATGTGTTACTCTCAGTTGTCATGTAACTGTGGCCAAAAGGATCTAGGTGATTCTAAAAAATGTCCATAGATCCCACGTTTCTGCCATAGATCTGTAGCCTGATGAAAGGCAATGTGGTGTCATAGTTAAGAGTGTTGGACTTTAATGGATGGGAGAGTGGAGTTCATTTTTCTGTTCTTTCAAGAAACTCAGGGGGGTTGCAGACTGTTAGAAATAGTGCAAATTGAGTCCACTTTTAGGGTTAGTGTTAGTGTTAGGGAATCATGGGAATTGTTTTTTTTTTTCTGAGACATTGAACCTTCTCTGTCAGAGAACTCTGGTGCCACAATAAAATACAGTTCCCATGATTCCCTAGCACTAACCCTAACCCTAAAAGTGGACTCAATTTGCACTATTTCTGGCAGTCTGCAACGCCCCTCACTGGTTGATTTTGAAAAGAAAGTGGTGGCAGGAGGAGGGGGGAATCTAGATCACCTTTAAGACTAATTGATTTATATTTTAGCATGAGCTTTTATGGATATCAATTATTTCCTCAGATACACTGATAGGGGAAGTACATTGAAGTGGATTGACACCCATGGAGTGTAGAACACAGGAGAGAGCCTTCTTTGTGGCTGCTCCCAGGCTGTGAAATTCCTTACCACAAGAGATTTGTTTGGGCCCCCTTCTCTCCTTTCCTTCCACCAACAGGCAAAAAGCTTTTTATTCAGACAGGCCTTTGGTTTATAATTATGTCACAGAAAGAACTTTTCCTTTTTTTTTTTTTTTTTGCCATGCAGCCCATCCATTCTTTTCCTCCACATCTCCTTTTTTGGTAACTCCTGTTGTTGTTGTCTGCAAGTCATTTCTGACTTATTTCTGACCCTGAGGCAAACCTATCATACAGTTTTCTTGGCAGAATTTGTTCAGAGGGGGTTTGCCCATGCTATCCTCTGAGGTTGCAAAAGTGTGACTTACCCAAGGTCACACAGTGGTTTTCCATGGCTAAGCAGGGATTTGAACCCTGGTCTCCCAGTGGGTGATGTTGGGCACATCACACACACTCAGCCTCAGAATGCCATATGATAAGTTCACTTTAGGACTGGGCACACAGCTATGGACTGGAGCAAACAGGCAGGAAAATTACATCCGTTGGAGTTGTCGTACTTTCATTTTTCTGCTTTGCCGCAGCCCTGCACTGGCACCGGGTTGCTCATATGCAGGAGTGGAGATGCACATTTTCCGTACTTAGCCAGAGTATCCCAGCTTCTTTTTGTTCTGGTGCTTATCCTTGGAGGACAGCTTTGTTACGGTTTCAATCTGCTTTGGAGGCATGTGTCATATAAGCACCCCACCTTCAAAGCAGCTGGAAGCTGCTTTATTTTGCTCATCTCTTTCACCCTATAAACAGTTCTCCTTCAAGAAATAGGAATGGCCAAGCGGCTCAGGTCGAATGGCTGTATCAGTGCTATCTCCTAGCCCAGGGACAGGCAACCTTTTCCAGACCTGGGCCGGTCTGCCGTCGCCCGGGTCTCGACTGGGCTGACAGGGGGGGATGGCACCCTCCTCTGCCACGCGTCACCCCCCCCCGCGCATGCAGGTGCCGCGCCCGCTACTGCAGGCGCCGCCGTAGCTTGCGCGGCTGCAGCTGCCACGGCGCATGTTGCGGCCACCATTTTGGAAGTCGAAATGGCGGGCGCGACGTGTTTGCACATGTGCAAGAGTACTGCGCATGCGCAAACGCGTTGCAACCACCATTTTGACTTCCAAAATGGTGATCGCCATGGGTGCGGCCGAAAACGCGCTCCAACGGCGGCGCGTGGCGGCGGCGATGGCGGCAACCTTCGGCCTGGGCCTGTAAGTCCGGGGCCCGGGGCCTTAACCGGCCCCCGGGCCGTAGGTTGCTGGTCCCTGTCCTAGCCTTTGCCACCTGAGGTGGTTGCCTCCTTCTGTGTGGAGGTAGGGCCAGCCGTGGTGGTTCAGATACATCTTTCAGGTCATTCAGATATAGGGTTGCCATATTCTAGTCCCTCATATCTGGGCATCTAGTTTGCACATTATGCAAATTATAATTATGCATGTTATTAATTTGATTGTGATTATGCAAATTTGACA